GGGTGACAAAAATAAGATGTCCTGACGTGTTTGTCAAAGTGTTATTTACTGCTTTTTACATGTTGGAATAAAGGTTCAATATTTAACTGCAAAGTATAAATGCGTGTTTGATACCTTCATTTTTTTTGCATTAAATCATTCTGGGATGTTTGCTGAAATTAATTTGATGTGGCACAGCCCTAGACATTTTACACCAGCCGCCACTAACTGACTACGAAAAACAACTACAAAGCTCTATTTTCAAATGAAAGAATGTCCTTGATTTGAGTGCAATATCAGAGCTCAGGAAATTTTGCTTGCAACTTTCACCTTAGACCCATGAAGGTTTAACATCTAGCTAATGTTAGTGAGATTGAATCTCTCTCACTTAGACAGAAAAAAATATATATGCTTTGCATTGTATCATTTTTTTCAAGGTTGGATGACCATGTGATGGTAAATGGTAAATGGACTATATTTTATTTATTTATTCATTTATGGTATTTATATAGCGCCTTTCTAGTCTTTTGACCACTCAAAGCTTTACACTACATGTCTACTGTTCCATAATACAGTACAGCTGTTTCAAATGATGTTGCTCAAATTACTGTACCATTACTCACTAAGGGCTCATTTAGTGACCAGTCATTAATCCACTTGACGCGAGTGGCTTCAACCCTGTTGTCTGTCTCCATCACCAGCAGCAATGACTGTTTCTCGTAGTTTGAGTCGACTACACAAGGTAGCCTGAGGAAAATCAAGTTTTGCTGCTGCATCTGGTTAGCTTGTTTTTGCCAGTTTGTCATAATCTTCAAGGAGACTAAGATTTTCATTGGAGACAATGACTTTCTCGTTTTTTTTCCATATGTTGTCCCTGTAAGTGATCACAATAAACGTTTTCTACTGTATTGTATTTTATTCATGTATCATTCCTTCCCAATCCCATGCTCTCTAGGAGACCAAGCCTGTCTCTCTAGTGCCCTTGAGGTGGAGCCGGATGCTGGGAAGGGTTTTTTATTAAAGTAACAAAAGTCAAATGATGCGTAAAGTCATAGTGCACAGTGTTTGTGCGTCAAAGCCTCAGAGAGCTGAGACTTTGCATCACCACGACTCCTTTCCAGTGAAATAACTTTATGTCAGTCTGTCATTCAGCCTCACTGTTGCCGCATAAATACCTGAGCTCCATCTAGTGGCAGGACGCAGACCAGTTTGAAACAACATGTTTTATCATCTTTGCCAAACTGAGAAACCTCTGTATCGTATTTTTAGATCAAATATTTCAATTCAGGCACTTAGGTACAGAGGCTGACATCTCCACATCTAATTCAATCAAACTGAAAATGTTCTCCCAGTAGACAGATAGTCAAGCTGACCAGAAACAATGATTTTAGTCAGAGATTTATTCCTGCATTGCTGAACACACCATCCCCCTCTGCAGCAGCTAAAGATGGCAGTCAGTTCATGAAATATTCCCTTTTAGACTTGCTGGTTGAGTGATTGGACATGTAAAGAGATGTTTCATTTATTTTCCATCTAGATTTTGCTTTTTTCTCCTTTCTTGTTAGGAAGGTCAAACTACTAGAGGTGGTAGGAATTTGGAATCTTGATGTAAAGGACAATACAGCAAGGATGGACAATGTTTGAGATTGATGATGCATGAGTTTGTGTATTCTGCGGAAGCAGATGGAAATCAACAATTTACTTTTTTTTTGCTTTTTCCTCACTGAAGCAGCTTTTGAGTGTTGTGGACCAAAATATAATCTGTTAACTCTTTCAAAAACACAAGACTGACTGCGTGACGCATAATATCTCCACCATCATCACCATCTGACGCATTCTGCCTCTCCACACACCCTTTTGCTTCACAGATACACATGCATGCGCAAACACGCGCACGAAAGGACGCACACACTATGATGTAACCCCTCCCTCCTCCGGTGCCGCTAAACTATATAAATCCCCTCTGTTGGAGTTTGAAACCAAGACACCTGCAGAGGAAAAACTGTTTGGAGAGAGAAGAAACCAATCTTCAAAGGCACAGACAGACCTCTTCTGCTGTGAGAGACCGACTTCTACCTGTAACCTCAAAGTCTCCTCAAAGTAAGTCTTCACACTTCTTACTCTCATTCATGCACCCCTTTTCACAAGTTTTCACTACGTTGAGCTGTGTGCATTTGATTCCAATACCAAAAAGCGTATTTGAGACACTTTTACTTCCCGTATCATGCGCAAGGTCCTTATTAGAAGTTCAATTGCATTGGAAGAAATTATATCATAACACTGTTTTTTTTGTAGAGAAATACATGTAGACCCTAAAATATAATGACGCATTTAAATTATTATGAGCAATTCTTTTCTAAATAAAAACACTGTTGCTCTGTCGAAATGTTTTGTTAAGCCTATGTATTTTTCATTGCATTTTCAGACATAAAATACAGCGCACGCCGTCAAGTAGCCTACTGAAAAGCTCACACACCTTAAATCGGAATAATTGTTTAAGAGTAATATAAGTTTTTCAACTTTATTTACATCAGAATACGCAGTTTCTCAGATATCTAAAAACTGCGAACTCCAATGTTATGCTAAGCCTCGTCTTTAGTGTAAGTTTTCCGTGCTAAATGTCCAGTAGCTGCGAGGTCTTGTTTGTGCATTCAGTTTCAGATGAAGTAAGATCACTTCCACGAGGGAGTGAGTTCAGCACCTCGGACAGCGACGCGGGGATTCTAAACAAATCCAAACCGTATCCGCCGCCACATGACACATGACAGCATATTTAATCAAATCTTGATAGTTGCTCTTCCTTGTAATATATTGACAATACATTGTTGCAGACATGTAGCTGACTTGCTGTTTTCAATTAAACAAGCCTTATTTCTTCTTAAAATATCACACATGCAGCAGTAGAAAGAAGCGCAAAGACATCACCCCGTGAACCTGGATCGCTCTGTAATAGCCTATAATAATGAGAATTAATGTAAGAGTGCATTAGAGCAGATAAAGGGGCAGCAAAACAATAAAGTATACCCCTTGATGCTCACAAATTTACTTAATCTCAAAAACGTCTGCAGTTGTATTTCTTATTGCCTGCGGATATACTTACAATGAGTAGTTGTATCTACACCTAATTCATTGTTTCACGACGGTACTCAGCCCCGTTATTCCTGAGGTGAAGTGAAATAGTTATTTAGAATTATTTAGTTTAGTTGTTGAGCAGCCGGGGTAAGTTTGCAAGCTTTTATTCAATTTCTGTTTTTCTGTAGCTTTCTTTTTGATGTTTTTGAATCTACTGAGCAAGGAGCCCAGTCATTTTGAGATTCTAGTTTAGTTTCCTTTTCAATTGAGTATCATGTGTTCTATTTGGAGATATGTCAAATTTGGTGTTTTAGTCTTAATGATAATGCTAACATTAATGACAACAATAATAATAATAATAATAATAATAATAGTAATAGCTGTAACGCTCACATAAAAGAAAAATATAACTGCCTCATAATATACACACATGAAATTAAGCTGCTGCAACATCATTATTATTATCAAATCATCTTAAATATGTAGCATTTATGTCCATTTAATGACAAACATCCAATTCCCTTATGTGTGAAATTAGTTTCCACATCTGGAGTCAATCCATTTTCTTCATCTTCCTCAGGAAGTAAACACCACTGTGACAATAAGTCAATCCAAAGCATAAGAGTTTTTTGTTACACGATACATAATAACTTGTTTAGCTCCTCCACACACCTCTATTTACTTAGCCTGAACAGGCATTCCCGAGGAAAACAAATGACACTGTTTTCCACCCCGCACCCCTCAGGAGAGGTTTGATAGATACAATGGTACAATGGAAAATGTCCTTATCAACTCTCAAACCTCCTTCACTCTCTGTTTTATTTAGAGTTTTCTGGGATTAATTCTAAGATAAAAGGTGACATCTTTCATCAGATAATCAGGGATTTTTTCATAAAACCTTTTCACAACTTGTTTAATTTTGACCAATAATATAATAAAAAATAAGAATTTGGCATACTACAATTACCAAAACCAACTATTGATAAAAAAAAATATGAAATAACCAATTAATTTATTTTTAAAGAAATCCAAAATGGTCAAGGTATTATTCTACTGGAGTTGATTCAAAACTTTGGATCCTTAACTTTCAAAAGTCGTCTTAATCTTGCTGCCCTGTTACAGAAGGCCGTGATGCTGAAGCCATGGACAGTGCTGGTGGCCTTAGTGCTGTGTGTGCTGGTGTGTCTGGGAACACTGGCGGACGCCTACCCCCCCAAACCTGAGAACCCTGGTGAAGACGCTGCCCCCGAGGAACTGGTCAAGTACTACACTGCCTTGAGACACTACATCAATTTGATCACCAGGCAGCGGTATGCACACACACATACATACAGTGCATAAACATTGTACAGGTATTTGTGCTGCATAAGCCTGCACTCCTTTTGTTTCGTCTTGTATTTCTGTATTTTTGACAGCTAAATAACATCATCAGGGTGTAGCTCTTAGGTTAGTTTAGATTAGGGACTGTACATAACATATTGGTGTGGGGAGGAGGGCTGACTCTTGGATATTTGATATTACATTTTGATATCCTAATTATATTATTATACTGTAATATTTTTGATAAAGCAAGGCACTCCACAAACTTAATGATTTTTTGTTTTGATCCTCCAAAATGTTTTGACTTATTGACTCAAGTAAAATCCAACATTAAGGTAGTGTAGCCCATTTTAGATCTCAATAACGAAATTGAATCATTTTCACTGTAGCCACCTATGAACACATTGCAAGTGAAAAAAAGCCAAATCAATGGCAAACAAATCAACTACAGACAATTAATGTATTTATTTAATAAAGGACTAATATATATGAAGTAAACTGGGCACTTGTATGACTACAGTAATGTTCGTGCATGTGAGCGTGCCTCACTGGTTAGCTCATGCCGCCCCTCTGCACTGCTCTCATACACAGTTGCAGCTGATAAAAAACATCTCTATCGACAGCGTCGTCACAGAAGTGTATTGTCCACCCTCCGGTTCCCTCTCATGTAAACACCGTTAGCCCTGTCAGCACGTTAGTCATAGTTTGTACTATTTGCGCCGTTAGCTACAAGTCCCCAATCTCGTATTATGCACCTTTAAAGTTATGGAGGGTCCTCATGAAGATAGATGCATGTATGCATCATCCTTCTCCAAATTTAGATCCCCAAAAATTAAACGAACCCTTCCCCAAACTGACTTTCTGGCGTTAAGCTAATAAAAGTGTAACAGCAGCTGAACTGAGTTTGCCTTTTTTACTTCTTCCCGTTTGCTCCTTTAGTCTGTATTTAATTTTGTTTGATTCAAGTCATTACAGGGAATGAGTTGCATGAGTTACCTGCTCGTACCTAAAACCTGAAGCTCTGTGATGCAATCCCCCCTCATCCATCCCCAACCCTTTACCCACACAGGGCAGCTTCATAAATTAGATTACTGGCCACTCTCCAAAACCGCCAGGCCTCCAAATCAACGGGACCAGAGCAATAAAATTGGCACAGATGAACCCAAGAAAGAATCCCAAATTCAGTTAGCAGGGCCTGAGCCAAGGCCTGCTGCTCTCAAGTATAAAAGTCGCTTGTCAGATGCTATATTTTCTGATTTGAAGCAGTCTGGCTCATGAGCTATCTGTTCTTACTCATGAAAGCCAAATAGATCGTTGATATTTAGATACTTGGTTTAAAGAAGACTCATCATCGCCATAAAAAGTCAATTGGTTTAGGTAGAAGGTTTTCACATTTCACTGGAGAGTTGCAGATGAAGACATATATGTGATAAAGGCAACAAATAGTTTTATGAAGGTTTGACTGTATAAAATAACGTGATGGGGAATGTGATGGCTGTCAGCTTTAGGCTGTGCACTCCAGATAAAATGTATGGATCTGGGTAGTCAAGTGCCTTTGGTGCATAACTATATACTGCAGTTCATAGCATTGTATAAATGGAGAAATTTACAGTGTCTTACTGAAGACATGAAAATCAGAGCACTTACTGTGATTCAGCATCAACTAACACTTCAACTGCTTCAACTCCCATTCAACATCTCACAGATATACAATTAAAATTGTATCAGATTTGATCCTGTATTTGCTCCTGTAATAATTCATTTTCTGAAGATAGTTGAGGCATTTATAATTTCCTCGTCATTTCTATATGAAACAAGGTACTAATTGTAAAGAAAATAGCAAAATAAATTATTTGTTATAGTTTCAGTTCATTTTATAAGCAGTTGTTGATTTTCAGAGGAAATTTCTTGAAAGTACGTACTGCTTTGAATTTAAATACATTTAGCAGAAATTATGGTTGAGAAAAAGATGGCTGGCTATTTATTTTATGGAAACTCAAAAAGCTTTGTGACTCAGATGTAATGGTAATACAGGAGAAGTAAAAACTGGGGTTATTGAAAGAAACATGATCAAGATTACTGCATTGGAGAGAGGAAAAGACAAAAAGAGTCAAACTGACCATTGGTTAGAAAGAGAAAGAAAGACAGTCAGAGCGGATAGGACATGGGGAAAGATAGTCAAATGGAAAGAAAGACATTCAGACAACTAGAAAAAAAGAGCAGGACCGACCAGGGAGATACATGTGTGCTGATGGGCCATTATCAGAGGAAAGATCCTGATGTGTTGCACTGTGCGACAGCTGAGACACAGTTGTTTGATTGCTTTCCCACAGGGCAACACTCACACACCTTCCTGTGTGTGTAACGAAGCATAAGATTGGGTGCTGGGGACATAGTGGGAGGTGGAACAGGTGGTTAATGGCAAATCAGAGGAACTGCAGGCGCCGCAGGGGTTGTGTTGAAAAGCGCTGTTTCACGCACACACAAAAACAAAGACACGCACACACACACATTGGGAAGTAAACTTTGTGTGAAACGGCTCTGTGGTTTTACATTTGCAGCTCTCTTGGTTTCCTTATCGTGAGAATGATAAGACTCATCCAGATCCGCATTTGAACGCACACACTCTTGCGTGCACAGTCGGAATCTGACTGCGAAATTGAAGCATTAGGATCAAATGGAGGATTGGTAAACCAATAAAGAGGACATAAAGACATATTGTCTTGAATGACTCAAAATATAAAATATAATCTCTCTAAACTCGCTTAGTTTCCCACTGTGGGCTACTGCGATCACCAAAATCCAAGGTTTTAAACAGAGAAGTGGTGTCCTGTTTGAGACAGGAAGCAATGTGTTATGGGAAAAGAAGTCTTGATTTAGAAAAAGGATACTGCTTTCATTTATCTGAACCAAAGACAGATATCTTTAAAGGGGAACTCAACTGGTTTTTACACATGAATGTCAGTATATTAGTCATGAGGAGTACCACTCAGCATGTGACAGCTCAAAATATTCTAAGTAACATAATGTCTCTTACTTCAGTTTTACATAGCCATCACTAAGAGCACAATTACCTCATCCAGTAGCACGGACAAAGGAGGGGCTGCTTTGTTTCTACTAGCAGAGCATTTTACCAGAACAAACTAAGATAAACAGTTGGACTACAGACAGACAGCTTTTGTTTTAGCTTGTTTGTAAAACTTCTTATGAGCCAAGCTAGTGTGCTGTGCTTGTGTAAACATAGAGGCAGTGGATGCGACTGCGGACAGAGCCGATTGAAATACGTATCGTTTCCCTTTAACATCTTCATACTTGTTGAACAAATATATTGATAGAATTTGCTTTTTACTCGCAATTGTTTTATTACTTTTACGAGCTAACTTTTCGTCAACTCAAGTAATTTTCACTTCAGTGTCTCCAATAATTTAGTACCAGGGCCCAATTATTAGGTTTTGATTTGTCCATTCTGAGCTGCTCTAGAAACATGAAGGTGCAACATGGACTCCGTGGAAGAGGACCTGCTCCCTATGTAGATATATAAGGCTCTCCCTAAGCGAACAAAACCAAAACAATTTTTAGTTGCAGGTCATTATACACTAATGAAAACGTAGTGATTCATTTGGATTAATCCCGCTAAATGTTACACACTGTTCCTATAAGATGTAATTGAAATTTATCAAATTGACCTGATGGTGGCAATAGTTGAAAAGTGATGGGATCAAAAATTCATCGTGAATGGGTACAATGAATGTGTTTACCAAATTTCATGACAATCCATCCAAAAGTTGTTGAGACAAAACGACAAATGTGAACGCTGTGGTGGCGCTGGAGGAAAAGTCAGAGAAGGATCAGCAAAGTCATGAGGATTCATCCTCTTGAAACCATGAATGCACAAACTTTTATGCCAATCCATCGAAAAGATGTTGAGATATTAACTGGATAAGTTAAAAGGTCTGACCTGCTGGTGGCTGTAGATGAAAAGTCACGGGATCACCAAAGTTAGTTGGATTCATCGTCTGGTCAAAATAGAAATATGTACCAAATTTCTCAGCTTTCTATGCAATAGTTCGTTAGCTTGGCTAAAGACTGCTCTCCTTTTCCCTTACCCAGGTATGGAAAGCGTTCAACTCAGGAGGATGTGGTTGCAGAGCTGCTGTTTGGTGGCGACAGCAACAGAGACCAGAGATCAAGGTCAAGACCTTCAAACACTTAAGCTGAAGGAGTCATGTGACCTGTAAGGAATCCATATAAATATTGATGATTTATACAAGCACTTACACATACTTCCTTGTGTTCGTCCACAGATACGACGACTCCTACATGTGGTGACTCCGCCGCCCCTCTCCCTCCTCATGGAGCATTCCCTCAGGGTGCATCCCACAATGCACCTGGAGGGGCCGACATGTGCCTCTCATCTCTGACCCCTGAAACCGACCCTGAACTGAAGACCATCACTGACCGAAGCTGTCTTTGTCTCTCTTGTCACTGTCTCACATCTTTCTCAATACAACACAATTGTACATAATTTATTATATATATATATATATATATATATATATATATATATATATATGAGATCAGAGCTACTAATCAGAAAGGTGGACCTGTGTCTGTGTGTGTTCGATTAATGTCCCTTTACTGTCCAACTCTTTTTAGAGGAGGAAATTATTGTTTTACTGTTGCTACTGTAAAAAGTAACAGAATAAATGATTAAAAACTGTTCTGTGTGATTAAAATTTGTTGATGAATCAAAATTTTGTTTGGGGATTAATGTACTGAGCTGTGTTGTACTCATTTTATATAGTCTGAAACTTGAAAGGCACTCTTACTCGTGTATTAAATGATATGGCTGGTGTAATTTTATATTTTTTTGTTGTCTACAAATACCACAAAAAGACCAAAACCAACAATGTGTTAGTCCATCTCTCAGTACTTTCTGATCTCCCTACACGCTGTGTGTCATTCAGCTCCAAGCCCATTGGCTCCTCCTAAAGTCATAAAGCTCTCAATATATAGTGTAATTTTAATTTGAAAAAGAATATCTGTATATTATATATAATTATATAATTTCCTAAAACAGCAGGTTACTGCAATCTTTAGAAAAGCTACTTAAACAGGAGGAAATGCTACATTTTTCTGGAACTATTTTTAAACAGCGGATTAATCCACGTTTGTTTCCTTATTGACTATTTGTTGCAGAAGAACGGTCTATGTGGGTTTGAGTCAAGCTTTTAATAATTTATTTTGAACAACAATGAAGCTCTATTGCACTCTTGTAGGAAGAAGATATTTCAGGCTTTGGATGCACACACAATACTTGTTAGTAGAAGACTTTGATTGTAGGTTTTGATCCTTTCATGGGTTTAGTGACAAGAAAAATCTTGAATAAAAAAACACAGTGGATAATCTGGATTGTTTTATGGCATGAAGGGTTATTACTATAAAGTGCAATAAAGTAAATAACCTTCCTCTTTGTTAAGCATTCATCAGCACATTACAGTTGAGACTTATGATTATTGTTGAGAGGACAGGCAGCCTCTATGGGCTTCTTGCATTTCACATTGTGACATATGGGGATGTTTCTTCAGAATTATTTTCATGCATTAAAACATTAGAATTATTTTTTCAAGCATTAAAACATGATAATGAGGATGATGATGAACCTTTTTCTTATTTTTTTAAACTTCTTCAAGAATCTTTACAGTGCTGAGAGAAAACCCTTCAATTTACTTCATGGCCTGGATAAACTCAGAGGAGGGACAGTGTCTCTGTTGACACCCGAGCCGGTTTATGAAGTATACCTAGACCCTTGTAAGGGCTAAACCGAAATGTAATGAGGCCACCTTTCTCCTTTTACAACCATCTACATTTCTGAGGAGCTGATAGGACACAGAGACACATCCAACTGTGAATAAAAGACCAAAAGAAACTGATGTTTCTACCAAATTATAATGCACTTTATTTGTCATGATGAGCTAACATGTTTAATAATGTAAAGAAGTGCTTTGACGTGGTTTTGGACCTTGTATCGAGCTAAGCTGTAGATCAAGCCTTAAGTAGGGCTATCCTTTTATATTAATCATTCATAAGATCCTGGCACATAGATAGAAATTTGAATGCACACTAATGCCATGTCTGAGTTAATCCTTGTATTTTTGATATATTTTTAAATTACATTTTCCCTTTCTTTTGTAAAACATTTTAAAATTGACTCTTTAACTGTTATTCATTTTGTTAAGCATTTGTTATAATCTGTGGTTTGTAATCATACAAAATTCATCTTGGGTTTCTGACTCACTAAATATATTGTTCCTTAATACATTAATAGTGAAAGTTTGAGGTCTACCAAATCTCTAAATTTGAAAGCATGTGAGTTTATAAACAGTATAGAAGTTCATGATAATCAACTCTGGTTGCAGTTCTGTAGAAAAAATCTAAAAACAATGATTCATAGAATCATTCAACTATAAGAAATCATCATTCATTTTATTGTTCAATTATTTATTTATTTGATTGTTTAGTGTGTAATAAATCAATAAATATGTTTTTTTAATAAAAAACGTATTCATCTGTTTTTGTGTAAATTAAATAATATGTCAGACCATGTCAAAAACTTCATAGCAACCCTGAGATTGAGACTTAATTGTAAAATGAACATTTTGGAAGTTGGGTGGCCTCCTAAATGTAATTCTAAAATTAAAATCTGTTACTTAATAATCCTTCTGGTTACGAGCGACCCCCATTTGGGGATCGAGTACCGGTACCGACGTTCCGAATGGACTTTTCATCAAGAAATATCAAAAATGCTCCAGACATATAAAATACTGAATTAAAAAAAAAGTCCGGCCAAAATCATCATGCCAGCCATTTTACACAATTATACACAGTTATACACAAACTAATTCAATAAACTGTAAGATTTATCACATTATTGGGATTTTTCTCCAAAAAAATCGGCGTACTATGCACCCGAAATTCATCTTTCATCACAAAGCCGGCAGCGACCATGGCGGATGAATACATGATTCCACAGTAGCGCTCGATACGGAGTCGAGTCACGAGCTGTGTGAATGAAATGAAATAAAGTTATTGATAAATTAATTTAATTACCAGAACTATAACTGATTGAAAATGAGTTATTAGTAACTGATTTAATTAACTGATTATTAATATAGAAAAACAATATTATGAAAAAGATCTATGAATTAATTATTGAATATATGATAAAAAAAAACTGATTAAAACACTAAACTAAAATCTTTCTAGTATATATACTGAATAGGTTTTAGTTTATTAGTTTAATGTATTTATATGTATATATATTTATAATCCTGCTGAGCAGGGATTATATATATATACATATATATATTTATAGTGTGTATATTATATATATATATTATATATATAATCCTGTTGAGCAGGGATTTTAGGGACGGGAGCAGCAAGAGGGGGGCGGGGCGGGAACAGCTGTTGACGCAAACAGGAAGTCCTCTGTAGCTAGGCTTTCGGAGACCGCACGGTCTAGCCTTTGCGGTCCTCAAAGGACGCGACCCACGTAGACCGCGAAGGCTGGGTCCTCCGAAGGATGAAGCCCCTGAATTGAGAGACAGCTACAGACTGAGAGGAGATTTTTTCATGGATGAGACATATGACATCTGAACATGGCTGAACATGGCTGAAAATTATGCCAAACTGCTTTATTATGATGTATTGAACACTCTTAGGGATAAAGCAAGTGAATATATAGTTAATATGTAGTTATATAGTATATAAAATTAGAATAGAGCATGAGAGAGAAATGAGAATTCGGCTTGAAATTCTGTACTCAGACCTCCTATTATGCTGGCCTGCTTCACTCAATATAAGTAAAATTAGCTTGGAGAGACCACAAACCTGTTGTGCTATGACTGTGGAGTATTTTTAGGCTTCAATCTGCATTATTTCAAAAACAATGTTCAATAAAAGTGCTTTTTTCAGGTGAACCTGAAACTTTTCAATTTGAGCTGTGTGCCATCTTCATTCACTATTAACCAGTAACATATACACATCTTCACACATCTGGACAAGTCTCTCACAAGTTTTACCTGTATTATACCATCAAAATTATTAAAATAGACCTTGTAGTTTCAGATCTACAGTCTTTAAGTATGGGTATGCAATTTTTGAGCAGAGGCCCAAAAATAGGGCTAGGATTTAACTAATTGTGTCCTAGCTGAAGCTGAGTGCTTCAAGGGTTTATAATTCATAATTGAGTTATTAATTACCGTTGAATATTTTGATATCAATTGATCATTAACTTGTACAACCAATAACGCTATACAGCACATAAAAGTATTGTGTCACGCTTCTTCCTCAGCATAGTGAGAGAGATTTAGGGTCTAGACAGACAGTAGAAGGACAGGCTGATGGACGGATTAGTTGCAGTACGTTTAGCCTCTTCAGGGAGGAAGAGGCTAAACTTGGGGGTAACAATAGATCAGAAACACTAGCATTAACATTAATGCTAGGTGGAGACAGAAGCTGCCAAACTTAAATGCCACCATGGGTGGAACCATGTTCTAAGTGGTTACAATCTAAGGTTCTAGAGACTCTGGGTCCTCTTTAACAGCTCAAAAACGAAATAATTGTCTAATTATCTGGTGACATGTTCGGAAGGTGGCACGGTGGTGTTTAACAATGTTGCCTCACAGCAAGGTGGTTCTGGGCTTAGGTCCCTTCTGTGTGGAGTACGTTCTTCCTGTGTTAGTAGCAGAGTCTGGCTTTATTCGAGTTCTCCTGCTTCCTCCCACAGTCTAAGGACATGCAGGTGAGGTTAATTGCTGGTGAATGTGAACGTGATGGTGAATGGTCGTCTGTCTCTATGTGTCAGCCCTGTGATGACTTGGCCTCTCGCCCAAAGTCAGCTGGGATCATCTATAAGACTGGCTTCTTATATGGCCTGTCTGTCATTGGTATGGAAACACATTTTTATCCAGCACAAATCCCAGATAAAACTACAATATTTTTTTTCTTTGGTTTGTTTGGGTAATACTAGGCAAATACCAGGAGGAAACACAAATATAACCCCATTATTACCATGGTATAAGTTATGCCCTATTATTACCTTGCGATGTCTTTACACATTATTATCCTCATATTTTGCCCCATTATCTAAAAAAAACCCGACGTTACCATCAAGTACCCTAGTACTATCCTGTTGTTCCCAAGATATTACTCCCATATTGCCATGTTTTTACTTAGCTGTAACATGAAGTAACACCCATCACTGTGCAGCCCATCAAATCACCACAGCTGACACACAAGTTGATTTAATTCAAGTGTAATACTCAAATCTCTCCACTGCCGGCTGCTGTCGCACTGGTTTCACATAAGGTCAGAACAATGTATACTGCTACAGCATCCTTCCAACTTCAGAGCTGCCTAGGAACTCTTTTTTCTCTTCATTTTTTTTTCACTTACAATATTGAGTTTTTATTCAGACCCAAAATGTCTCAAGAAACTTTGGGCTTTTATTTTACAAAAGACCTATCACAAGTGATTCTTTTGGCTGAGGCCCACTCAAAGAACTCTAACTGCTCAATGAGAGAAAATGTTAATGCCTCGAATCTCAATTTGTCAGATTACGGTTTTAAAACTGTGCTCTCGAGGTGATCAGACCACCGCTGTCATTCGCTCCAGTCCAATCTGTGAGTTTGTGTTATGGCTTTGGTTAGGCTACTTTTAATTATTTTTTTAAATGAGGAGAAAAAACAACAAAACAAGGCACTGTCCCTTTAATACTCATTTAATACTACCACATCGATAGGTGCCAACATCCAAGGAATTTGTTGAATTTAACCGGAAATAAGCCCATGTTGAATCTGCCTGCAAAATGTAGATGATATATTTAACATGTTTAACTCCCACCTAGTGCCTACTTTATAGTGTATACCATATGGTCTTACATGTCCATACAAGATTAATCTCGTGACAACAATAAGTAGTTTAAATTTAGTTTTCTAATGAAACTTTATATACTGGCATATTTGCCAAAAGTGTTTGATTCTGAAATTTTCTCGGAAGTCCTACGCCACTGACGGCTTTATATCTTGACGGTTAGGGGAAAGCCAGACGACAACAAGAAGCGCACGAGACATCACAAACAGGTCAGCGGGAAGCTCGTCTAATTGAGGTAAACGGTAGGTGAACTGCAATTTATCCAACACAAACATGGCGGCTGTATTCACATCTATTACTGTTATTGTGGAGCACATTGTGCTTCTTTTATTCATTCTCCTCCCACTGACGCTCGTTTAACGTTAGTGAGAGAGCAGCTAACGCTACACACTGGACTGCCATGACAATGGTGCGTAGTCCAAGCGGTACTGTTTGTATTAGAACGCTAGGAGATTTAGACAGTATTAAGATAGCCAACTTGTGTATTGTTAGCATTTTGTTATTCGGGCTGCCTTTGTGTGTTTGTGTGTGTGTGTGTGTGTGTGTGTGTGTGTGTGTGTGTGTGTGTGTGAGTGTGTGTGTGCGCGTGCTCATGCTTTGTTATATGTGACCCCTGAGACGTATGTATGTATGTATGTATGTATGTATGTGTCTGTAAGTTATGTGTATGACTATTAGGTGAGGCATACATGCTAATAATACAAAAGTTTACATTCAACAATGTTTAACAAAGAGGAGCCGATGATACATATCTACAAACAGTACTGACTGGGTTCAGGTGACGTCAAAAAACCCGTGTCCACGCTCTTGACACCCTCTACCCACTCAGACACAAACACTCTACCTATTGCATATCAAATATTATGGGGTAAAAAGGTGAGAAAATATGGGGGGGATCATTGTATCTTATATTTAAAACAAATTGTTTCCACGCATTGATGGCAACTACACAGTTGCTACCATAGTATGTTTGTGAGACACTGCAAGATGTACAATGTAGGTAATGGGTTGTGTGTATGTCTGTGTATCTTTTTACATATTGGAGCATGTGAGCAGATGGATGATGGTGGGGAATGGAGGGAGGAGGGGCAGTGATGGAGGCGGTGGAATAAATTAGAGAGTAATGGAGGGGAGGAGGGAGGTAGAAGGAAAGGAAGAAGGAAACATGCTGCTTCTGTGTTCTGGTGAAACATCTGCTCTCAGATTTCTCTTCTGCTCTTGGTGTTTTTCTTCAATAACTCATGTCAAAGTTCTCCAACCAATCGAATGCTAGTTTTGGTTTTAACCAATGCCTCGTTGCCTTTGCTTTACTTTTTAAAGTGTCCCTAACAGGCGGGTATTCTTTAACCTGGCATTTCAAGGCTTATTAGGTTCGCCCTTGTGACGACTCTCTCTACCTGGTCGTTTGGCTGCCTTCTTTGCAGGTGTGGAGGTGGGTGTGGCAGAGGGTCGTCAGGCAGAGTGGAAGCACCTGAGGCTATTTGCAACACTGGCCCTGTGTGCTAGAGCACTCAGTATAAAAACCCTCTGGATTCTCAGTTGGTCTCTCGCTCCTTCCTGAGACACCCATTTTGGTTGCGGTTATGGTTTGTTTCTACACTATAAAACACTGCATATACACTTTACACGCACCCACTCACTTACACTGCTGAAATGACTGACTTCACATTAGGGCTGCACGATTATGGCCAAAATCATAATTGCGATTATTTTGATCAATATTGCGATCACGATTATTCATTAATTTTAGGGACATCTTTTTATTGCACTTTCACATTTAAATGAACAAGAACACTGCTTCCACTTCCATTGTTGTGCTACATTCCAGCTAATGTACACGTCTTTACATCAAAATAAAATTTGTATGGTTCTTATTCACCTGAAGCAAAATATAAATAACAATTTTACCCAAAATAAAGGGCTAACTAAAAATAAATGTGTGTTGCTCACAGTATTTATTGGACGCATGTCTTTGGCCAAATGAAATGCGATTGCATCCGTTATTTCAGTGTGTCTTTGGGAGGTGGATGGATATGCTGTCGCGCTGTGCAGGGTCGCTGTTATGGTTTTCTGGGTTGACAGTGGACATGGACGTAGATTCAGTGAGGTAACGTTAGCTTTGGCCTTAATGCATTCGTCGTTGTGGTGGTTTTTCAGGTGGTTGAACAAGGTAGTTGTATTGCTATGCGGCGCAGACACAACTCTAACGCACTCTGTGCATATGATTTGTTCTTGGTTAACATCACTTGGCCTAAATCCAAAAAACTTCCAGACAAAGGATGATGATCCTTTTCGAGGGGCTAGCTCCTCGCCTTCTGCTCCTGACATTTGATTTAGCTTTCACAGGACACCCGTGACCGTCTGCTCTCTGTTCTGTTGTCTGTCTCTCTACTCTTCTACTAATAGCGGAGTCCGCTGGGAGCGCGCGTGAGACCTCCCATCTCGTTCGCCCCCTGGTGGTTGGCTGACTGTTAGTTGAGGAAGCGCTTGATTTGATATGTAGCAGAGCACGCATTTTAAACGTCAATATCGCTGACGATCATGCCAAAATCGTGATCGCGATTTAAAATTTGATTAATTGTGCAGCCCTACTTCACATATCACTGTTAGTTTATGTTTGTCTTTTATATTTCTTTAAACTGAGGCTACATCCATACTACGTTTCTATTTGGAAGCAGATTTGTCAAATGCAAACGATCTCGTCCACACGGGCGTTTCAGCATCATTTTCGAATTGATCTGCATCCACACGGCAGCCTTCGAAGACGGACAGCACGTGATCATTAACGTACACTGGGCATGCGCGTGACTGTGTAAACAGGAAGTGGATTGGTTGCTTAGTTAAAAAAAATACGACAGAGTAATAAAGTTGTATTTGATACTTAAGATCTTCCTCTAAAATAGTCCTCTATAAACTCAGACAGTTCGTGGAAAGTTTTAGAAGTTTTATTTTTCAGACTTAGTTACAATGCTGCGGGTCTCTCACTCTCACTCACTCACATCAAATTTACTTTAAAATCAACAATTGCACGTAAACGTTTACTAGATTATGGGTCCATAAATGTGGTCAACACACGTCTCTCACTCTATTCTGCTCCTGCTTCGTGCAGGAAAGCTTAGCAGATCACTAACAGTAGATCCGTGAAATAAAGACCATGGAATCCGTAGAAGAGTTTCAAGACTTTAGTGTGAATCTTTCTTATTTGTAAAACTGTGGAAACACAATATGAAATATGGCTTTACAAACTGTCCATATACACATGCATGAATACAAAACAACAATCCATGTTATAGCCATCATTTAACATGTCCGACTAGCTAGCTTCTAAGCTAATTTTAACATTACCGCCAATGGAGAAATGCTAACCGCGATTAGCATTTAATACAACATCAATGTTATACTAAAAGAGCGAATAGAATATATCTACGGACATCTTTTCATGCTTCATAAAGACATACTTACAGACTAAGGTCTCTCAAGGCTACCAAACGGAAGAAGTAAAATGTTAGTGCAGCGTGTCTTATTAGAATATACGTGCGTCGTGAACACTTCCCGGCCATTTCACAACAACGTCCATGAAACAGTATTTGTAGTCACACACGGCCTGTACATTCAAAGAATGTTTCCCCTTTCTGTTGATGTAGTCTGTAGACTTAGCACGTGGTTGTTTCACTTCGATATGTGTACAGTCAATGGCCCCCAAGCATTGTGGCATACCGTGTGTTTGGAAGAAGTTGACCACAAGGTCCCTCACTTCGGGCTCTGTACTCGGTTTCCGGATGTACTTGGGACCCAGGAAGACGGTGATGGCCCTACAGACTTGCCGGATGATGACTGAAACAACTTGTCGAGATGGTCCAAATGCATTAGCGGTTTTCCGGAGTCTGCCCTCGTCACTCAGTTAATACAAAGGGCACGCTACCTTTGTAAGTACATCCACGGGCGCCCTCATCGTGGTTGTTGCTCCCTCCACATGCGGATGTAATATTTCGCTAACTTTGATCAATGCCGATCTGGACATTCGAAAGTTTTCTCGCCATTCTTCGGGAATCATAACTTCATTGATTATTCCACCAGGCGCTCGTTCTTCCTGGCCTCACCCAAAACCGGCGCTCCATATACGGCTGATAACGCCTCTGGACTCGGGAATTGTCGCTCATCGCTCAAAGAATAGCTCGCCTCATCCGCCTGTAGGCAGTAGCAGCATTGTAAAATGACGGATTTAACTCCACAATTGCTGCTAGTACAGACAACAACGTAAGCAAGGCTTGTTATCCATGTTGAAATGAATCGCTGGTCGCCCTGCCTGTTTGTTTTCTTCCAGGTACGGGTCACGTGATAGTGAGTGTGACGAATCAGGGACGGAGACGTCATGGTTGCTAAGAACCAATCCAGTAGCGAACACGGGTGTGGGCGTAATTTTTTCTAAACGCATCAGTTTCCGACCGTCCACACTCAAATGCAACCCCGGAGTTTTCAAACACCTCCAATCTCGGGGGTGTTTTCAGACTCCTCCATTTAGGGTGCTCCAAAACTCCGGCGTAGTGTGGCTGCTCGGTGTAAACGTGGCAAAACATGTGTTTCAAAACAAAAACGGAGTAATCTGGACATGGCCTTAATAAATAATTGATAAAACTGCTTCATTGAATGAGTCTCCCTTTTTTGTCATGGCCTTTCGGCCCGATTTGTGAGAAGTGGGGGCTCGTCCGTCCAAATTGATTGGCTTGAGGCTGATATTTGGTTCTGACTTTGTTGATGCTCCAGGTGAGGAGTTTCTGGATCGTTGCACTAGAGATCAGCTCTTCAAGATTGCAGAAGAGTATGATATTGATCTAAGTGGTGTTGGTGATAAACAGGTTAAGGAAAATGTAAAGGCTATGGTTAAAAAGCAGTTGGTTGAGAGAGGGGTGCTGGTTGCTAAACAAGAGGGACTGGGTCAGTCAATAGCAGCACCCGCACTTTTAGTTCCATCGGGGAACCTTACCTTTGAGCAGCAAAAATAATTGCTTTTGTTACAGTTTTCTCATGAGAAGGAGAAACAAAGGGTGGAATTGGAGAAACAAAGAGTGGAAGTGGATAAACAAATAGAAATTGAGCGGTTGCGGTACAAAATAGAACAGGAAAAGTTAGCGTTGCAGAATGCAAAGTTAGGCTTAGTCAGAGATGGTAAGCTTTCTGGAGATGTTTTGCACATGGAAAATGGTTCATCGCGTTCTCGCGATATTGTGAGTAATTTGCATCGCTTTCCTAAGTTTAATGAGAAGGATCCGGATGTGTTTTTCTCATTGTTTGAGCGGATTGCACAGGCAAGAAATTGGTCAGACTCTGAGCAAACCTTGCTGTTGCAGTGCGTGTTGTCAGGAAAAGCCCAGGAGTCATATGCAGCTTTAGATAAAGATTTAACTTATAAATCAGTCAAGAATGCTGTTCTGAAGGCATACGAGTTTGTCCCTGAAGCATATCGCCAGCGTTTTAGGATGTTAGAAAAAGGGTTCAACCAGTCTTGTATGGAGTTTGCGAGGGAGCTGACAAATAATTTCAATCGTTGGTGTACGTCTTTTGGTGTTAATGATTTTGAAAATTTGTGTAATCTGGTCGTCTTGGAACAGTTTAAGAACTCTCTGCCCAGTCGTGTTGCCACATATCTTACGGAGCGTAAGGTTACAACTGCCAACCAGGCTGCGAGATTGGCTGAGTATGTGCTCATTCATAAAAGCCGGCTCGGTGAGCCTGTGTTGCAGAATGATGGCGGTGTTGAGTCATCTGGTCGCTTCGGGGGTTTTCCAGGTGGGGTGCCTCGGGGAGCGCCTGAAATGGGACAAGATACGTGCAATTACTGCCGTGAGGCAGGCCACTGGAAACAGGACTGTCCAATACTTGGGGATAGGAGGCAGCAGGCTGGAGGTGGGTGGCTAAAACCTGCTGCACTGGTTGTAAGCGTTCCTGGTCCTGTGGGAGTGTGGCAAGGTGGGCATGCAGAATCTGGCGTGGTTGGAGGCCCAGATGAATCCTATCGGTCTTTTGTCTCAGAAGGGTTTGTAACACAGACTGGTAGTGACATTAAGGTGCCTGTTAAGATTTTGAGGGATACGGGTGCTTTCAACTCCTATGTTCGAGACTCCATTTTGTCATTTTCAAATGAGACAGATACAGGGGATAAAATCCTGATGCGAGGAATGGGGTTGAGGGTGTTGCCTGTCCTGGTGCATATGCTGAATCTAGACTGTGGCTTGGTGCAGGGCAGAGTTCCTATTGGGGTGAGACCAGCGTTAACCAGTGGAAGGGATTGACATAATTTTGGGCAACGACCTGGCTGGCAGTCGTGTGTGGGCAGATGTGCCTCCTCCTCCGATAGTCACTCCCTCTCCTTCAGCCTGAGAGTGTTGTAAACTTTCCCGAAGTTTTCCCTCTATGTGCAGTTACTCAGTCGATGAGTCGTGCCGAATCAAAGGAGGTAGATGGGGACGTGGAGAAAAAAATTGCTGTGTTTACCCGATTTTCTTTTTTCTGTGTCTCATAGTGATCTGCAGAATGAACAGAGCGCAGATCCAGCCTTGGAGGTGTTTGGATCAGTGCTGTCAGTTGGTGAGGTGAAACATGTTTCCAGGGGCTACCTTCTTCAGGATGGTATTTTGGTGAGGAAGTGGGTGCCCCATGGTGAGGATTTTGTTGGGGATCCCATTTTTCAAGTTGTCATTCCAGCCAAGCTTCGTGGGCATGTCTTAAGACTTGCTCATGATGGGTCAGGGCATTTGGGTGTCCGGAAAACCTATGACCAGATTTTTTTGCCATTTCTTCTGGCCACAAATGAAACAGGATGTTTCTATGCATATTAAAACCTGTAGTACATGTAGGATGACTAATAGGCCAAATCAGGTCACTAAACCTGCTCCACTGGAGCTGATTCCAGCTGTCAGTCAGCTGTTTGAGTACCTAATCATTGATTGTCTGGGGCCGCTGCCCCATGCGAAGTCTGGTAGCCAGTATTTTCTAACTGCTATGTGTCAAAGCACTGGGTACCCGGCAGCGTATCCTTTGCGAACAATAAATGCAGAATCTGTGGTTAAGGCCCTGAGGCAATTCATAACTGTGTTTGGCATCCCTAGAGTCAAAGTGACCAGGGATCACATTTTTCTTCTCACCTGATGGCCCAAGTGTTAAAACTGCTAGGTATCATACATAACCAGTCGTCTGCTTATCGCACACAGTCAGGGCCCTTTGGAGCGGGTTCACCAAAAACTCAAGTCGCTTTTGCGTTCATATTGCACTATGTTATTGATTATGTGAATGGGTTTAGGCATCGACTTTATTCTGCAGGGAAGTTGGTAATGGAAATGTTGGCCGCATCACAAGCTAAAATGAAGAAGAGGTATGGTCCTCAAGCTGAGATGCGTGAGTTTAGTGCCGGTGATCGAGTTTTGGCTCTTTGGCCGTTTGTGACTTCACCCTTCCAGGCTAAGTTTTGTGGTCCGTTTACAGTGGTTAAACGCATCTCAGACAAGAATTATTTGATTTCAACTCACGGTCGCAGGAAACCTATTAAATTGTTCCATGTTAACTTGCTTAAACCCCATTATGCTCACTCTTCTAGTGCACCTGGTGATGTCCAGCAGGAACCAATGCCATTGAGTCCTGTGTTGGGGGCTGATAAAGTGGATGCAGATTCAGTTGAGTATGGGCGATGCTGTTCTGGATTCTGATGAGGGGTTGTTGTCTGGTTGGCTGAAAAATTAAGGGATCCATCCATCCATCCATCCATTTCCCTCCGCTTATCGGGGGTCGGGTCGCGGTGGCAACAGGCCAAGCAGGCTGACCCAGACTTCCCTCTCACCGGCAACATGTTCCAGCTCATTCTGGGGGATCCCGAGGCGTTCCCAGGCCAGCTGGGAGATGTAATCCCTCCAGCGTGTTCTGGGTCTTCCCCGGGGTCTCTTCCCAGTTGGACATGCCTGGAAAACCTCCAGTGGGAGGCATCCTAATTGGATGCCCGAACCACCTCAGCTGACTCCTTTCGACGCGAAGGAGTAGCGGCTCGACTCCAAGCTCCCTCCTGATGACCGAGCTCCTTACCCTATCTCTAAGGCTGAGCCCGGCCACCCTACGGAGGAAGCTCATTTCGGCCACTTGTAACCGCGACCTTGTCCTTTCGGTCACGACCCAGAGTTCGTGACCATAGGTGAGGGTAGGAACGTAGACCGAGTGGTAAATTGAGAGCTTTGCCTTCCGGCTCAGCTCCCTCCTCACCAAGACGGTCCGCTGCAGCGCCTGCTTTACTGCTGCAGCCGCACCGATCCGTCTGTCGATCTCCCGCTCCATCTTACCCTCACTCGTGAACAAGACCCCGAGATACTTAAACTCCTTCGCTTGAGGTAGGCACTCCGTCCCCACCTGGAGGGAGCAATCCACCGGTTTCCGGCAGAGCACCATGGCCTCAGATTTGGAGGTGCTAACTCTCATCCCCGCCGCTTCACACTCGGCTGCAAACCGCCCCAGTGAATGCTGGAGGTCACGATCCGAGGAGGCTAACAGGACCACATCATCTGCAAACAGCAGAGAGGCGATCCCGAGACCCCCGAACCTGACGTTCTCCACCCCCAGGCTGCGCCTAGATATCCTGTCCATGAAAGTCACGAACAGGACCGGAGACAAAGGGCAGCCCTGGCGGAGGCCAACACCCACCGGGAACGTGTCTGACTTATTGCCGAGAATGCGGACACAGCTCCTACTGCAGTCGTACAGACACCGGATCGCCGGTTGTAATGGGTCCGGCACCCCATACTCCCGCAGCACCCCCCACAAGAACCCCCAAAGGACCCAGTCGAAAGCCTTCTCCAAGTCCACAAAGCACATGTAGACTGGTTGGGCATCCGCATTGCTCCTCTTGTATCTGAGGTTCGACAAACGGTCGGAGCCTCCTTTCCAGCACCCTGGCATAAGCCTTCCCCGGGAGGCTGAGTAGTGTGATACCCCGGTAATTCGAGCACACTCTCCGTTCCCTTTTTTTGAAAATGGGAACCACCACCCCGGTCTGCCAGTCCATGGGCACTGATCCCGACCCCCATGCGACATTGAAGAGGCGTGTCAGCCAGGACAGCCCAACTATGTCCTGCGCTTTCAGCATCTCAGGGCAGATCTCATCCACCCCCGGCGCCTTGCCACCAAGGAGCTTTTTGACTACCTCAGTGGCCTCTGCCAGGGATATAGGTGAGCCTCCCCCTAGATCTTCAGGTGCTGCCTCCTCTGCAGAGGACATGTTGGTCGGGTTTAGGAGTTCCTCAAAGTGCTCTTTCCACCGCCCGACGATGTCCCCTGTCCAGGCCAGCAGTCCCCCCCCTGCTGAGAACAGCCTGAGCCGTCGGATGGTTTGCCAGAACCTCCTTGAGGCCAACCGAAAGTCCTTCTCCATAGCCTCCACAAACCCCTCCCATGCCCGAGTTTTAGCATTCGCGACCACCGCAGCTGCAGCCCTTCTGGCCTGCCGGTACCTGTCACCTGCTTCGGGAGACCCCTGGGCCAACCAGGCCTTGAAGGTCTCCTTCAGCTTGATGGCTTCTCTCACCTCCGGTGTCCACCACCGGGTTCTCGGTTTGCCGCCACGACAGGCACCGATGACCTTCCGGCCACAGCTCCTAGCGGCCGCGTCCACAATAGAGGCTTTGAACATGGTCCATTCGGATTCTATGTCCCCAACCTCCCTCGGGATGTGAGAGAAGTTCTTCCGGAGGTGGGAGTTAAAGATCTCCCGGACAAAGTCCTCCGCCAGACGTTCCCAGTTCACCCTCACTACACATTTGGGCTTGCCGGGTCTTTCCAACCGGTTCCCCTGCCATCTGATCCAATTCAGCACCAGGTGGTGATCAGTTGACAGCTCTGCTCCTCTCTTCACCCAAGTGTCCAAGACATACGGCCGCAAATCAAATGATACGATTACAAAGTCGATCATTGATCTCCGGCCTAAGGTGTTCTGGTACCAGGTACACTTATGTTCGAACATGATGTTCGTTATGGCCAAACCGTGGCAAGCACAGAAGTCCAATAACGAGACACCATTCGGGTTCAGATCGGGCAAGCCGTTCCTCCCAATCACCCCCCGCCAGGTTTCTCCGTCATTGCCCACATGAGCATTGAAGTCCCCCAGGAGAACTATGGAGTCGGTAGGTGGCGCCCTTTCCAGGACCCCTCCCACCGACTCCAAGAAGGCCGGATACTCTGAACTGCTGTTTGGTGCGTAAACACAAACCACAGTCAGAGCCTTGCTCCCCGCAACCCGTAGGCGCATGGAGGCGACCCTCTCGTTCTCCGGGGAGAACTCCAACACAGCGGCGCTCAGCCGGGGGCTCGTGAGTATCCCCACTCCCGCCCGGCGCCTCTCACCCTGGGCAACTCCGGAAAAGGACAAAGTCCAACCTCTCTCCAGGAGCTTGGTTCCAGAGCCAGCGCTATGTGTGGAGGTGAGTCCAACTATATCTAGCTGGTATCGCTCCACCTCCTGCACCAGCTCTGGCTCTTTCCCCGCTAGCGAGGTGACGTTCCACGTCCCTAGAGCTAGTCTATGCTGCCGGCGATCGGCTCGCCCAGGCCTCCCGCCTGACCCGCCGCCCGGTCTGCATTGCACCCGACCCCGATGCTTGTCCCTGCGGGTGGTGGGTCCACAGGGTGGCTGCTCCATGCTGTTTATTCGGGCTGAGCCCGACCGGGCCCATGGGCGAAGGCCCGGCCACCAAACGCTTGCCGACGAGCTCCCCTCCTGGGTCTGGCTCCGGGGGGGTGCCCCGGTTTCCCTGGTCCGGGCGAGGTGGCTAAAGTCTGTGGGCTGCTTATCATTAGGGTTGTTTGAACCGCTCTTAGTCTGGTCTCTCCCCCGAGACCTGTTTGCCTTGGGAGACCCTACCAGGGGCTAATGCCCCGGACAACATAGCTCCCAGGATCACTGAGCCACTCAAACTCCACCATGTTAAGGTGGCGATTCGCAGAGGAGATTAAGGGACCCTCATGAGGATAAAAGGGTTGTTTATCTCCTAGTTTGTTTGCTGTTGTGGTGGTCCTGTGGGACCCCTGTCTTATGGGGGGAGGGGCCTGTTCGTTTGGCTGCCTTCCTTGCAGGTGTGGAGGAGGGTCGTCGGCAGAGTGGAAGCACCTGAGGCCATTTGCAACACTGGCCCTGTGTGCCAGAGCACTCAATATAAAAACCCTCTAGATTCTCAGATGGTCTCTCGCTCCTTCCTGAGACACCCATTTTGGTTTTGGTTATGGTTTGTTTCTACACTATACCACACTGCATATACACTTTACACGCACCAACTCACTTACACTGCTGAAATGACTGACTTCACATATCACTGTTAGTTTGTTTGTCTTTTATATTTATTTAAACTGAGGCTACATCCATACTACTCCGTTTGGAAGCAGATTTGTCAAATAGAAACTATCTCCGTCCACACGGGCATTTCAGCATCATTTTCGAATTGATCTGCATCCACACGTCAACCTTCGAAGACGGACAGCACGTGACCATTAATGTACACTGGGCACACGCCGTCAGGTCGGGACTTTGACTAGGCCACTCCAAAGTCTTCATTTTGTTT